AAACAAAAACTATTTAGAATGATTGAATATAAAATGAAAATGCAGGTGCGTTTTATATGTATTACTGAAGATTTGTGTTGAAATTAAAACTTTTTTTGTATTAAAAAAAGGAAGAAAAGTCTCGTTATTTAATAATATGAATATACACTTTTACTATGTTGGTAGAACTTATGTTTTGTGTTTTATTACCTGTTTTACCAAAAGATATAAAATATTATAAGTAATCAATAAAGCACTTTCTCGGTAGCTTCTATTTAACTTAATAAAATACATATTAATCTATTCGTACCTCCATATGTAAATAATCTATGTTCAAAATTAGCAAACCATTTACTTTGTTAGCGTCGATTACTTTTTACTGCTTTTTCATGTTAATCGTGTAAGTTTTAAATATAGTCCATTGTTAAGACAAAACGTGTACGTATTTATCTATATAAATTATACAACAAAATGAAATATTAACTCATCTTATTTGAATGACGCACTTTGCCAAATGTAGGTTTGTTTATATTAAACCGGTTTCTAAAAAAAAACAACAACATACTAATCTCAAAACTCAAAACAAAGAATGTAAGTCAAAATGGTGCATTAAATGGTTGAGATTTTTTTATATTTTTTTATCTCACCAAGGGTTTTTTTTTTATTTATATTTCCAAGTACATACATTACATACCTATGTATGTATTTGTAAGACCGTGAAGATGTTGGTATGTCCTAATTCGTATAGGTGTAAAGTTATCAAGAAATTCGCGATATAGAATATAAAAAATTGGAGTTCTTTTATGTCTATTATGAATTGTGACCATAATTTGTCGTAAAATTCATGCTTAGGAGGACCTAAGTGGTGGAGTCGTTCCCATACGTAGGAACGTATGGACCCAATAGGGCTGATGCCGATACGGAGCCGCGGAGGACATAACGGGTAGCCGGGGCTCCGGCTCGAAGGGCAGGCGTAGGAATGGGGTGGTTTTTAGTCAGTAAAAGTCTGACACTCCCTCCGGCCTCACCCAGGCGGGAGAAGACATTCGATGATTCTCCCCCCTTAAAAAAAGGTCCTACGTACAATATAGTGATGAAGCAACTTAAAAGTATCCTTTTTTTCAATTAATAAACCCAACACTGAATGTTGTCTAAAACCCGTTTCCTAAACAAACAGGTCAAAGACACTTAGAGAATCAAAACAACAGTCTATGGATCGCAACAAGAGTTACTCCAAGTGGGAAACGTAGAAGCATATCACGACATTTTGTGCACTTGCTGGTTACGGTTGCGATTTAATCATCTTTTTTTATTCTATAGGAGGCAAACGAGCAGACGGATCACCTGATGGCAAGCGATCAGAGCCGCCCATGGACACCCGCAACACCAGAGGAGTCACAGGTGCGTTGCCGGCCTTTTAACAAGGAGTACGCTCCTTTCTTAAAGGTTTGAAGATCGTATCGGTTCGGAAATGCCGCCGACGACAGATCATTCCACAGATTTGCTGTGCGAGGCAGGAAGCTAGCTACGTGAGAAGCGCACAGTTGTGGCCTGCCAACCATCTATATGATGGGGATGCATATGCTGTCGTGAGGGTCGATGGCGAAAATATGCGGCAGGTATCAGGTCAAACAATTCCTCAGAGCACTCCCCGTGATATAAGCGATAGACTAGAAAATGCACAATGAAGCTACATCTCTACGCATTGCCAAAGTGTCCATTTATTTTATTGTATTTAAGTACTTTGGTTTCAAAATATAAAATATTTGTTTGTCATACTCACCGCTAATCTCAAATTAAAGTTGTTCAATAATAAGCACGATTACTAATGAAGCAAACGTTACTCTCACTTTAACTACACGTCTTTAAGAAGGGAACGTATCTTTGAAGTAAACCTAATTTATCTTTAAAGATAAAGCGTAGGTAGGGTACGTGGTTGCAAGTGGCGTTGTACTGTTGTCTAATGCTTGTGTTATTGACATTTTGATCATGAAAAGTGATAAGATTAATGTATAAATGTTGTTACAAACAAATGCAAGCGTTCTTAGAGTGATCTGTTTATTCGATCCTGTGTGTCTTTTGTCAAAATGTTATTAATTTTATTATTTATATATATTTCTTTAACACACATAACATAACATCACGCTTTTTATCCCCGAAGGCAGAGGTGCACATTATGGCACTTAATGCAACAACACTACTTTTCACTTTTTATGTTATGTATGAACCCCATTTAATAGGGGGTGAGCCTACTGCCATATATACCGAGCATAATTCCAGTCTCCGTGCTACTGCTAAATATTTTTTTAAAACCTAGTTATACTTTGCCCGATCCAATCGAACTCGAGATCCCTTACCCGGCAATCGCATTTGCGACCACTCGGCCAACGAGGCAGTCAATTAAGCCAAGCCAAACTAATTTATTAGTGCCTATAACATAAGTAACAAATTGCCATTTACATTTGTTTTAAAACTTAAATAAGCATCACGACTAGGAACAAAATTTTGCTATATTTCTATTTCAACTACTGCAGTGAAACTACCTTTGAAGGCCCGTACACAAAACTGCGATGTGACGTAGCTTCGCAAAAATGTGCGAACTCCTCTCTACGCAGTTTCATCGCATCGCAGCTTTGTGTACGAGCCCTATATGAATGAATGCAATCAGAACGATACTTGATATCAAAGGAAAAAGGAATAATAAATTACTATATCTGGTGATCTAGTAGTTTTTTTTAATCTCATTTATTTCAAGGGATTTTTGTACACATTGTGACGATGTCAATCCCATCGTGCTTCTACCTCTACATAACAAATGTATTTACAACTTAAACATTAACTTAGTCTAACACATAACTTAGTCTACTTATCTATCAAATATAAAGGAATATATAATATTTTTAAAAAATGTCGTGTTGGCCTGGAGGTTTAAGACGCCCTCTTCTCATGCACGAGGGTGCGGGTTCGAAACCTACCAACGGCAAGTACCAATGTGACTTTTTCCGAGTTATATGTACTTTCTAAGATTATTTAGACACCACTGACAAACGGTGAAGGAAAACATCGTGAGGAAACCTGAACTTATAATTTCTAATTATAAGTTTGAAATCGCCAACCCGCATTGAGCAAGCGTGGTGATTAATGCTCTAACCTTCTCCGTGTGAGAAGAGGCTTTGCTCAGCAGTGGGCATTTATAGGCTGATGATGATGATAATTTTATCTAGTAGTTGAATTTTGAAGTTTATGAGTCCGTCCTAAAGCCTAGCTAACAATGAGGAAGTAAGTTGTCAGTCTGCCGAGTTAAATAACTTCTCGTTTCAATTACACGGAGTGGAAAAAGGTAGTCGGTGTATAGCCACACCTATTGGAATTCGTACGTTTATAACTGGTATGTATCTACCGTACTGGTATAGTACACGCACTCGTTATATACTTGTGTTCGGGTACCAGTGTCTACCAGTAGCCATGGATAGCCAGTCAAATAGTATAGAAAAATCAATGTGTTATTCGTTTGTCACTGTGAATTACGAACATTTTATCTTTTCAATTTTCAAACTCAAAAGCACTTCAATTAAACCATAGCTTGTTGATGAAACGTCAACAAATATAAAATAAATAATAGTCTATCAGTCTGTCCGTCAGTAAAGCTAGCCGCTCGTTCCAATATGTAGATTCGAATGGAGAAGAACGAGTAAGATATTCCATATACGTTATTCTATTCGATTAGAATGTTTGCTATTTGGTTTTGAGTAATGGTATAGGATTTTTTGCTACTAAACAGTTAGTATTATTTCATGTTTTAATCGTATTGCTTACAAATACAAAACTCTAATGTAGTAGTCTAAGACACCACACCACTAAACCGCAAATAAACTATATTAATAAAATCAAAGCTTAATTAAATTCTCATATTTTGGAGCGCAGGTCAGTGTCCTTCAGGTTGTCCTCGATCCATTTATCAGCTTGTTGTGTCATCTCCTCATCGAAGTAGTCGCGCCAACCTCCAGCTTTACCTGGAAACAACAGGTTATGAACTGAACCGAAACCAGGTAGACGTTTATTGGAATTACTTAGGACTAAGTGTTTTTGATTAAGTTAATAATTCGGCAGTCAAAAAGTAAATTATTACGACAGTAAAAGATTCAAAAATAATCACATATTCATAAATGGATTTGAAGATATGACTAATTAAATTTAAAATATGGATATTTTTTTTAAGAAATACGTATTTTAGATTTGACGCAAAAATATTATGACGTCATGAGATTTTTTTTAAGGGGGGAAAATCATCATTCGGCTTCTCCCGCCTGGGTGAGGCGGAAGGGACTTAAGATTCTTATTGACTGAAAACCACTCCGTTCCTTCTCCTGCATTTCTGGTCTGATGGATCTTTGCGGCGCGCTCTACGTTATGAGATGCGATCTCTTATTAAATTCGTAGAAAAGGTTAGCCCTTCAGTTTTCGATAAAAGTATCCCATTCGACTATTTGTAAAGTACCCTATTCTACAATTTAAAAATAAGTTACAACTGCCAAGTAGACAATAAGAAAAAATAAATAAATTTGAAACCAATAACCAACCGACATGTTCTAATATACAACTCTTCGCCATGGTTGAGTAGTCCAAGTTCAGCCATTATGTCGTAATTAACAGACTTATTTGTTCTGAAACTGTTTATGGTGAGTGAGGCGAGCTACTTGGTCTTCGGAACATGACTTGTTGAGGAACTTTGCGACATTATACATAGCTGGATTGATTTACCTAACACACATCACACATCAACAGCCTATAAATGCCCACTGCTGAGCATAGCCTCTTCTCATACGGAGAAGGTTTGAGCATTAATCACCATGCTTGCTCAATGCGGGTCGGCATATTGATAAAGGAAACTCACGCGTATTATGGATAAATAAGTTCCAGAATGTTACCAGAAGAAAGTCACCATGGTATCCCAACAGTCTGTGCAGGCGGTACATGTGGAACAGGGACACCACCACATCTCTGGGGTCTCGTGCTACAATCTACATAAATACTATCATCGCAGTATCAAGTAGTTGAGCTGGTAGCAGAGATAGAGCTAGATGAGTGTATATGAAACGAGGGGACTTAGCCTCGGCCAGCCTCATCGTCCCAGGCTTGGTGATAATTTCCAAAACTGCAATCTTAGAAGCATCCTCCATTTCCCTCAGTATATTATCATTCATTAAAGGATGTACTAGCGTTGGAAATCTAGAAATATAACGATACTAAAAATAACATAATCTTACGCACGTATATAGTCAGGTTATATTTTTTATGATAACCCACTTGCGTCAAGACCTTGTAGGTCTGAAATATAAAAGAAAATAGCGAATATTTTATTGTATTATTTACGTTAATTTAACACTTCCTTAGTTTACAAGTTCTCAAGATAGATACCTATATTTTTGTAGACACGTAAAGGACAAGATGAAAGTATGTACTTACTCGAGAAACATGAACCTTGCAAACAGAGGTACTGTTTCTGACTTGGCGAAGTCCCAATCGTTGGCCAAGATCCAAACTAGTTCACGAGTTAGCGTCGAACCTGCCAGAGATACCAATTTTGACATGGAAGGTAGAAATTGAACAAAATGTCGAAACATTATATGCACGTATTTATGGGTATACTAGCTTCTGCCCGCGACGTCGTACGCGTATTCCCATTTTTTCCCGTCCCCGTTCGTGATTTTCGGTAAAAAGTAAAAAAAGTATTGGTTTAAAAGTATCCTATGTCGGTCTCCTGGCTCTAAGCTACCACCCTACCAATTTTCAGCCAAATCTATTTTGCCGTTCTTGAGTTATAAGTGGTGTAACTAACACGACTTTCTTTTATATATATATAGATTTATTTTACAACTAGGTTTATTTTCATTTAATTTAACAGGTAAAGCTAATGTTAAGTAAAAATGCGGGTTACTCACGTGAATATACTGAGAAAAGCTCTACTAGTTTCGAACCACAAAGGGGTTCTTCGTCATGAGCAGCGTGCGCGGTCGCGGCGACGTCGAATTTAGTATGTCTCACGATAGTTATTATAAAAACAAAGCTAATGTTAGTTCGCAGGGCAGAAGATGCAAATGTGAAATTAGTGAACGCGTCGGCGCCAGTAGTGCATTGAACCGTTACCTTTTTGTTACGTTATCTGATTGTGTTGCTGTAACAATGGTTAATTACTAGTCTTATAAAAAGGCATCAGGCCAGCGCTAATGTTATTCCCATCTTGGTTTTATAACAGTCACTGAACACCGTTCTTGGAATTAATCCGTTTAGAATGTTTATCATAATAACATCACTTTTAGCATAGTCTACTGTTAGGTACGTATACAGGATGTCATGATTAACATGAGATAAAGTTTTTTAATTTCTACTGACCTGGGGGCTTACTCTTGAATCCAATTCCGATCGATCGACATTGGTATTGTAAAATCTCGTACTCTTGAATTGCGACACTAGCGCCCATTGCATCCTTATTGCGTGGATATTTAATTAACTAAATGGTATTGAGTTTGGCTTTACATTCCGTACTCTGAATGCTATTGTAAGAGCTACGATTGTGGTTGTATAGTTTTGACATTGAATAATTATTGAGATTTTATTAGATTGAAATTGCATGGACATTGGGATTGGTTTCAAGAGTAAGCATCCTGATCTAGGATAACTGGTGACATAAATATCACTAGGTCTTATCTCCATATTGTAGATGTTTGCAGCTTCAGTGACGAAGGTCTTCGGAAAGAAGTAGCCCTTCGGCCCCACACTTACATATATAGCTGGTGTGTTCATCTTAAAAATCAACGTGAATAATCTAAAGAACGATCCAAGAAATGCATATAAGTAAAAACTAGGTATACATAGGTATGTTGTAGCATGTATAAAATCCCTATATAACTATATAGTGCGTGTGATACGTACGTAAAGGTAACATAAAACCTTAAAGTTTTATTTTTTTCTCTACATTATTTTTAAGACACATCCTAAGTACTAGCTCCCACCCACCTCGTCAGATTGTATTAGGGTTGAATAATGGTCATCATTATTGTTATCATCATAATAGCCACAAGACATTGACTACTGAACAACGCCTCAATCCCCAATCATTTTCAGATCAGTGACGAAATTAGTTGTTGATGTTATAACATGACAAATGTATTTTATTTCGCAGGCGTTTAATAGTGACACATATAATTGTATTACAGATACAGATTACTTACGCATTCATTATTAAGCTTAGTATAGATCTATTTTAGATTAACATCAAAGGTTCCCAGGGATGATTTAGTAAATATATGTTTATATATGTCGAAGAATTTGACTTCTTTGCAGAGTCTTAAAGACTTAAGTTGAGTAACACATTTGACATAGCAATTTGCAAAGAAATAGCTATTAAATATGGTCGACGGATACAGGGGATATTAATGATATCCGGTTTTCTTAGAAACTTGAACGGAAACTTGATTAATTAGGATTAAGGTGATTAATTCAAGAAGACTTGAAACTTTAGTTTGTAACTAACATAGTGTTAGTTAAAATATAATATTAATTTTATATAAAAGACAATCGCAATTATTATTTTGATGTCTGACTTACAAGACAACTATGAACTTATTATCAGGCACTTCAATAGTCTTTTTTTTAAGGGGACAAAATCATCGAATGATCTGACTTAAGTAAGTAAGATCTGAATCTGGTCCCACCTGGGTGAGGCGGAAGGGAGTGTCAGACTCTTACTGACTAAAAACCACCCCGTTCCTTCTCCTGCACGTCGAGCCGGAGCCCCGGTTACCCGTTAGGAGGCACTTCAATAGTAGAAAAACGTAGGTAATACTTAGAACACTTTTAGTCAAAAATTATGAATTTTAGTAAGCGTATCATATTCTCATTTTCTTTTGTTTGCCTCTTCTCCTATCGGAAAGACATTTAGGATCCCTTAGGAACTTACTTATGTATGTGTACCTATGCCAAATTTTGTACGACCTTAAGTTTAAGTTGTGTGTTGTCTGGCAAAAATTAACTATAAGGTAAGGTAATTATAGTGATAATTACACAACGCTCTGTTTAGAACATTATAATTATGTGTGTCAATGTATGTTTATGGTCAATCAGAGTGTATCTGCAATGTTGTATGCCCATCTGTTTTCGCATATGCTAATGAACTCATTACCAGACAACTAATCAACTTCAAATACATCGGTATAATAACATATATAATGTATAATAAGTTTGTTGATTTGAATCGATTGATTTTTCCGAATTTCAAATTGGTAACAAGCTAAAAAGATAGTATCGTTTTTATATGATACGGGGTAAACAAGCAGCGTCACCTATGCATACATGTAACACCATGAAAATAATAGGTATTTTTTTATGAGGGGAAAATCATCGAATGACTTCTTCCGCCTGGGTGTGGCGGAAGGGAGTGTCAGACTCTTACTTACTAAAAACCACCCCGTTCCTTCTCTGCACTTCGAGCCGGAGCCCTGGTAACCTGTTATAGGTATATCTTCGCGACAAAATAATAGGTATACTTGTCCTTTGTTTTTTGGTAAATAAAATTATTCTTATTCTTATTTTTTTACCACAGGAGTTACTAGAATGTCGGTGTTATTAGGCTGGGAGCCCTGGAGCCACTGGGCCTCCGGTAACTTCACTCACACAGCGAAATACAATGCAAGCGTTGTTTCACGCCGATTTTCTGTGAGGCCGTGGTATCACTCTGTTATTATTATTTTAAAAGCTATAGTATCGACTAATCTGTCAGTCAGTTCCGACTCCACCGCTCTTATTTCTATTGGAAACTTATTTCCATTCTCTATTTCGTCTCAACAAGTATGGCCTAGAAGCCACTAATCGAGTGTGGGTTGAATTTAAAAACTCGAAAGCGATGGTATTATAATATGCCATTACTGTTACAATAACATTAGTCTACAGATCAGGTTGAATAAATAACAATACAATACAGAAATTAATGTTCATACATACATCATTATTTTGTGTAATACTTGCAATACTTTTTTCGTAAACAAAGGGAACATACACGTGCCTGTAACTGGTGTTTGATACTTATGAACTGAATTTGGTAGTCACCTACTGTTTTTAGCTAGTTTCAATGAGATCAACTGAGCAGAACGAACGAACGAACAAACCCTTGACACATTGCTCCGCAGCAGAGCAAAAATTAACATTGTTGTTACTTAGTAAGTTACTGCCGCAAAACGAAACTAGTCTCGTGTATTAGATATGACAGTTTGCATTAGTATTAGCTTATATAAATTATTTGTCTAACAGATTTCATTCAAGAACAATATTGTACTAATTTCAGCCATGAACAATATTGTCTTCATTGATCATTATGTAGTTTGCTCATAATTATGTTTGTGAATATGTATATTATATCGCTTGTACAGTTGGTGCGGTCGTAGGGCAACTAGCGAAGGATTCTATTTCCATACCACGATAGGTACAGGAAAAAAGTCATACTACGGGCCCACGTCGCACATAATTTGAGATTGGGTAGTTTCCAGGGTATCAAATTAAAAAAAAACTTTTTAGTCCGTCAGTTAGATAATGAAAAAAATTATTAGACACGTGTTTTTTCCTTTTTAAAAAAATGGCGCTAAGTTTAGGAGTGGGAGGTTTTTACGTCATAACGTTGCACGTTATGACGTCACACGATATTTCAAATTAATATATCGTAGAAATTATTTAATTTTGTGAGAAAAGAAAAAAATACGTGTCTAAAGTTTTAAATTAATATACTAGACGGACATTAATAAAATTTAGGAAACTACCATATTGTATCCAGTGCGTACCTAGTCGTAAGTTACGATACTGGGTCTTATGTATCTAGTAAAATGTTATCTTACTAATAATATATTATAGATGTGAAAGTTTGTGTGTTTGTGTCTATGTTTAATATGTATATAAATCATGACAAACGGCTGAAGGGATCGAGAGGAAATTTGGAACAGGGATAGATTATGGTTTACATAATAACACAGCTACCAGCTAGTTACAAATATATTATGCCTCATAATATACCTACTTAGCGAAAAGTAGGTGCTACATTTCATATTTGTATTTCTTCAAGTAAGCATTAACAGTACCTACCCTTCGAGGAAAAAGCGTGATGTTAACGGGTTATCTTCCTACGAACGGGGTGGTTTTTAGTCAGTAAGAGTCTGACACTTCCTCCCGCCTCACCTAGGCGGGAGAAGTCAATCGATGATTTTCCCCCTTAAAAAAAGGCAGAACTAGATACCTACATACGCGCATATATGTACATTGTAAGACAACTAACTCTATGATGCCATAAAATATTCTATTGAATGGTTTCTTAAAAGAAAAATTAGATACACATTTTTTTACAGTATCGAATTAACTGTATCTTAGCTTTTGAATAAATATTGTTTCCGATAAAATATAATATATTCATGGAACTAGAAATAAATGAGTTCTATTTTGAGTAAGTTTTGTTTATGGAGAACATGAATAAAATAATATTATTATGGTCAATAAGTTTATTGACCTTTCGTCCATTTTCATATTGAAATGTTTTGTTTGTCATTATCCTTATAAATAGTATCTAGTATTTTTATTAACCAATATTTTTAAATTCATACCAAAAACTCGATGGTTAACTGTCATCATATATGTAAAACTGGTACATAACCACCATAACATTCAGTTTGTATGTTGAATATTTTGATATTACGAATCAAGACACATTCGATATTGACATACATTAAATAATATGTTTAATATGTATTTAATAATTATTAATAATTTGATTATTTCAGATGAAAAACCCCAGGATTTCACGTTAATTGTTATTCCAATAATGTAATATAAATAAATAAATAAATGTGATCTTAAGTGATGTTCATTAATATGTAAAATAAATACGCAAATAACGAATAACTTGTGATTCACTTTGTACCTAAACACATCTATCTATCTCCTGAGTCCAAGATAAATATGTTAGTATGTGTCAAGTTTAGGTATGAATCAAACTTATTATCAAACAGATTCGAGGAAAACACACTTTAAAAATAAAAAGTCTTTACTTAACAAATTAGCAATAAATAAATTAAATGGCGAACATTATATTTGGAAATAAATTAACTATAGAAACAATAACACAGAGATCGGGAACTATGACGAAACGACAACTACTTCTGGTGTCTGTTGTGGTTCTACTTTGTCTTCTTTGTCCATAGTTTCGGCGCTGGCCTCGGAGGGTGCTCGGTCCTGGCACATGAGGGTCACAGGGTCACGCATGCGCTCCGGCCCACAGTTTTCCGTTGCTCCTAACAGCTTCAACTCGTCCTGTTCGTCTGGGTCAGCCTCGAGGCGGCGTCGGCCAGCGATCACGACCTCGACTGCACGCCCGTCGCTCGCAGACCTGTCCGCTGCTCCAATCTCGACGCGATACGGTGTACTAGGTTCTACAAAAGCTTCCATCACACGGACGTCCGACCTTTCCTGAATTTCATGGTCCCTGTCTAGAGGTTTGTTGCTCTTGGAGAGTAAATCAAACAGGTTTATTGGTAGTTTCTTGGGCACGGCGACGAGCAGCAGAATGTTCTGGACGTCAGCTTGCACGTTGACCTCGCCATCCTGGCGCTGGTCGTAAGTGGCAGGCGCGGCGGCCGCGGTCGCGATAAGACAGGCGAGTGCTAGGAGCATGGTGCGTGCGCGCGACAGATCTCACATGCGCTGACTGCGCGCAGCATGCTCCCGCGCCGCTTTTACCAGCCATCCGCGAACCAGTCTGACGCTCGAAACGAGCACACTGTAACGGTTAACACGACATGAATACTGTGTGGACCTAATTCAACGGATGGTACCTAAGTGTTAATTATCAATTTAGAATATAATGAATGACCACAACGAGCGATCAATGTCTGCTGACCAGCGTTGTGTGAGTCACCATAGTTCACACGCTTGTTTCCATTGGCCACTATTGTGCTTTGTTTTTGTTACTGTTGCATAAGGTGTTGTTATTGCTTTATTCTAATAGTGAATGTTTCTATTAGATAGTTTAAACACGTTTCATAGAGAAATCTGGGGCTTTGAACAGCATCTCGTTCCACATTGGTTGTTTATTGTGACGAATGCATCCATCAAAACAATAAAGAAAGTAGTGAATGTCGTGTCGTGGCGTCCGGTGGAGCCGCGGGGCTCGCGCGTGACAGTGACCGCAGGTCATCGATACGATAACCGAGTTTCGCGTGTGCATTTGATATACTTATAAATAATATACAGATAGAAATTTAGCACAAAACGTATTTAAAATTAAGTGCGTAAAACGCGAACAGGGTTTAATTATTATTTAACTGCAAAGGATCCAATACTCGTATCCTTTGATTCTGTCCCGTTAAGTGCTAAGAATGCGGCGTTTCGTAAATGTCTGTTTCTGGTTATAGAATACAGCTAACGTCTATAACAGTACTTATGTTTATAGCCCACACTTACGTTAAATGTCCATATAAAATGCAGATGACGGGTGCGCACCTTTTGAAGGACAGTTAAGCATAAATTCTTTTAGAAGTTTAAATAAGGAAACCATTAATATGCAACCTTTGTTTTCTGAACCCTGTTCCTTAACAAACAATTGCATGTTTGCCGAAAAATAACATGACTTTTAAGAATAAATACGCTAAAATTTACTTTAAATTAAACAATTCCTAATTAGTTATATGTAAAATATACTAGAATGTATGACAACCTGTCTTCTGCCAGTTGGAGACTTGGTTGTTCCCCTATACTTATTATACTCTTTGCAGTCTTTGCTTGGTTGCCATCCAAAGAAGATATACAAATCTTCTACCAACAGTTTTACCCGCATTGCTAATATATAAAAAACAGTACCTAGTCTATGATAAATTCATATTATAATCTTTATGCCTTTTGTTCACGTTAAAGGTTCTTCTCCTGTATCGTGGGTGGATTTACAAAGTATAATTTTTTTACGTTAGACATGATCATAGTCGCACACTTTTATCCTTTAAAATGTTAGTACAATTAAATTTTAGACTGCCTCGTTGGCCGAGTGGTCGCCAGTGCGACTGCCGGGCAAGGGGTCTCGGGTTCGATTCCCGGGTCGGGCAAAGTATTACTGGGTTTTAAAAAAAAATCTCAGTAGTAGCACGGAGTCTGGAATTGTGCCCGGTATATGGCAATAGGCTCACCACCTATTACATGGGACTCATAATATAAATAGTGAAAAGTGGGTGTTACATTGTACAGTGGCATAATGTGCACCTCTGCCTACCCCTTCGGGGATAAAAGGCGTGATGTTATGTATGTTACAATTAAATTTTGTGTACTCGATATATTGTAAAGACTCGTCTATCGAGTCGTTCTTTAAACTTTTATCATAGCACGACGTAGCCGTTGTCTGTCGTTGTTGTCTCTTCGTAGAGCTATTGTAGTCTTTGCGCAGATACTTCATAGCACGACTGAGTCGTTGCGTAGATACTTCGTAGCACGACTTAGACGTTACGTAGATATTACGTAGGGCGACGTGGGGATTCGTAGATACTTCTTAGATGCATCGTACTCTCTTTGTAGACGCGTCGTAATCATTGCCAACGCAAAGACTACGCCTGTGTCGTGCTACACAGGCGTTGCGTACATACTTCGTAGCACGACACAGGCGTTGCGTACATACTTAGTAGCACGACACAGGCGTTGCGGACATAGTTCGTAGCACTACGTAGTCGCTGCGTTAATCATTCGTAGCACGACGTAGTCGCGTCGCAGATCCTTTGTATTACGACGAAGTCGCGTCGTAGATCCTTCGTAGCACGACGTAGTCGCTGCGTAGTTACTTTGTAGCACAACGTAGGCGTTGCGTAGTCACTTCGTAGACGCATCCTAATTTTGCGTAGATACTTCGTAGACGCATCGTTGCGTAAATACTTTGTAATGACACCTTGGTCGTTACATATGCATGTAGCCCTTGCATTCATTCGAAATAAGTTAATGTTAATGTTATTTACGCAGTGTGTTTAGATGAGCTTTTGATTTATATTTATTGTTTTGTAACTAATCTGATAGTTTATACTTTGTATATCCATCTACTAGGAGACAACTGCTATAACTTTTATGTTGACGTTTTTTTAGATTAGCCTTGTTTTATGGATTTTATAGTATAACATCACGGCAGAGGTACACATTACGGCATTTAATGCCCCCTGTACAATGTAATAGTAGTAAAGTAACTGTTTGGATTTTGTACTATTTCATTTTTGTTATTGGGAGGTTTCAGTGCCTTGTTTAACAATGGGTTGCAAGGGCACCTGCTTGTACAAGATTTTGATCTATTAAGTTGGGAATTCGACTTATGAGTAACAAAATTGTGATGATGCTTGATGGGAGGTAACATATTAACCCTTTTCGACCTTATTTATAGAACCTTATGCTTGTTATATTTCTACAATATTTTATTAGATTCTAGCTGTTGGTTGCCGGTGTCTTTATCCGCGTTGAATATGATTATTGTTTTATCCCATGGGACCATTTAATGAAGATAAAAAGTATCCTATCATTTAAGTCAGCCTAAACCGAAGGAGAATGTTGTTCTATAGTAAAACTGTGTAATATTTTACAAATACGTTTTTATATTTGAAATCAGTTTCAATCTAACAATTTTATTTAATGACGGTCAGTACACGACCTTAGATTAATATTATATAGATATATATAACATAACATCACGCCTTTTTATCCCCGAAGAGGTAGGCAGAGGTGCACATTTCGGCACTTAATGCCACTGTACTATGAAACACCCACTTTTTCACTATTTATGTTATGAGTCCCATGTAATAGGGGGTGAGCCTATTGCCATATACCGGGCACATTTCCAGACTCCGTGCTACTGCTGAGATTTTTATAAAAACCCAGTAATATTTTGCCCGGCCCGGGAATCGAACCCGAGACCCCTTGCCCGGCAGTCGCACTTACGACCACTCGGCCAACGAGGCAGTCATAGGCATAGATATACATATATATAGCTCGATTAAAAAAAACGAACTATTTAATATCTTGCATGTCTGATTACTCAGTTTATGTAAACGCATGTTTGACCAATAAACGATCTTTCTTTCTTTCGATACAAATAAAGACAGCGCCACCAGTGGCGAGAATACAAACTTGTTTGGGTTCTATTTTCATTGCAATATTTAAACACATATATACCAAATTTCATTAAAATCCATTTCTATATACCAAGTTTCAGCGTGATTGACGGACAAACATCAAAACAAAGAAACTTTCACATATATAGGTAATATTAGTGTGATAATAGGGATGATGACGGGGTATGAAAATTAAAAATCTATTTAGTCCATCAGTTAGACAAGTAATGAAAAAATATAAGATACGTATCTTTTCATTTTGTCATATAAGAAAACAATACTTAATAAAACGACTCAAAGTTTAGAACTTTTAGATGTGGGAGGTAAAACGTCATTTCTACGTATGAAACAGCCCTAGAACTGACGTCAGGCGGTGTTACAAATCAATATATCGTCGAAAGTATTTGTTTCTGTAAGGAAACAAAAAATACGTGTCTAATATTTTAAACTAATCTACCAGGCGGACATTAAAATCAAAATTAGTCACCTACTCTATTAAAGTCAAAGTCAAAATCACTTATTTTAATTAGACCAGGAAGGCATTTTTGAACGTCAAAACAAAATATTTAAATATTAAATAATAAGAAAATTTGTCAGTCTGTAGGTCAGTCCTCTAGTGAAGCTATTTGCTCGTTCCAAAATGTAGATTCCTATGGAGAAGAACGAGCAAGAAACTCCATAGGTTACTCTTGTCGCGGAGAACCTAACGGGTAACCGGGGCCCCGGCTCGACGTGCAGGAAGGAACAGGGTGGTTTTTAGTCAGTAAGAGTCTGACACTCCCTCCCACCTCACCCAGGTAGGAGCAGTCATTAGATGAATTTCCCCCCTTAAAAAAAATAGGTTACTCTATTTCAATCATGTATTATTATATATTGTGTGAAACCATTAGTGGAAGAGAGTGTATATATTATATGTAATAGGTACTCATTATTATTACAATTTGTTTCATCCTTCGAATGATTCAGTGGTAAGGACTACAGGTGTGAAGTTGTATTTTGTAAAACAAATACAAAGTCACAGTTCATTGACTCGGTTATTATCCCAGTGACTGAGCAACTTTTTTACTTCGCTACGGTTCTCAGGTTTGATTCCCGTGTCAAAGTATAAAATGTGTGTATTATGTGTATTGCGTAATGAATTTCATTTTACAGTTAGTCTTATCTCTATTTCTATTGAAATGTTTTATATGGTTTATAAATAACATAACATCACGCATTTTATCCCCGAAGGAATAGGCAGAGGTGCACATTATGCCACTGTACAATGTAATACCATTTTTCACTATTTATTTTATGAGTCCCATGTAATCGGGGGTGAGCCTATTGCCATATACCAGGCACAATTCCAGACGTCCGTGCTACTACTGAGATTTTTTTTAAAACCCAGTAATACTTTACTACCCGGGAATCGAACCCGAAACCCCTTGCCCCGGTATTCGCATTTGCAACCACTCGGCCAACGAGGCAGAGGTTTATAAATAAGTATTAAATTAATGAAATTTTATCTCTAAAAATAAAACTGAAAAAATTACAATCTTATTTCAATCAATTTGCGATTCTAAACGAGGTGGAAAATCTGAATAATTTATTTGTGGAATCACTGGTATGCAGTTTGTTTTGTACCTATGCCTTTGTTTTTCATACCTATTCTCTGTAAACAATATATCTTATGTATTTTATTGTTATTTATAGTGCATGATTATCGAGCGTTAGATATTTGTTATCCTATTATTGATTCAGTTTAGTTACTTGTTTAGATTTTTGATAGTTAACATAACATAACATCACGCCTTTTATCCCCGAAGGGGTAGGCAGAGGTGCACATTATACCACTATACAATGTAACACCCACTTTTCACTATTAATGTTATGAGTCCCATGTAATAGGTGGTGAGCCTATTGCCATATACCGGGCACAATACCAGACTCCGTGCGACTACTGAGAATATTTAAAAACCCAATAATACTTTGCCCGACCCGGGAATCGAACCCGAGACCCCTTGCCCGGTAGTCGCACTTACGACTACTCGGCCAAAGAGGCAGTCATTTTTGATGGTTCATTATGTTAAACCAAGACATTATGTTATGGCCCCATTAAAATTCGATTACATTCCATTATTTTATTAAAGGACGATAACCCTTAACCGACGAGCATGCATGAAAAGATTGATGACTGTTGACGAAGCGAAAGAGGTAAAATAATTGGCGTTCCCTAGTCTCTGCCTACCCCTATGGGAGACAGGCGTGAAGTTATGTATGTATGTATGTATGTATGTGTTAAAGGAGCAAAACAAACAACATTTTAGGGATTTTTCAATAAGAATTATTATTTATTTTCAACGAAACAATTTACATAGTACATTAAAATTAACTTACAAACTAAAATAAATGCATCTTTCCATGGCTATGTCTTCTCTCTCAATATCAGTACATACTAATGAATTAACTACAGGAAACTAATGATTTGAGAACTGTTTACACTCCATAACTATTCAGAGCATTCAACCAACGGTATTTACTAAAACTAAAGTCATGTTAAACATGAAGCTTTCAAGCAACGGTAGATATGTTTTGATATGCAAAGTATACCGTTGGTAAAACAAATTGTTTCTTATGAATATAAATATAGAGTGTAAGTTCGCAAACCTATTGATTACGTGTTAATTGATCACAATTTTTAGTTAATGCGGGCGGGTTTTTCTGAGAAGTGGCATCAGGAAGCTCGCCAGGCGATGTTTCAGTCTGTGGAAGAAGAAAAAACAAAATTAATATACGTTAGTATAATTTATCATTTACGAGAACATCTTAAAAGATTAATACACAAATCTAACTTGAATATGAAACCTTCAAATGTTCTATCCATTCTCTATTCCACTTATATGTATTCTACATTACAAAAGTTACGTTTTTAATATGAAAATATTAACTTTAACACTAGAAAGACGGAAAAAATCATCTACCTACAAAGACGGCGAGCGGTCAAATGACTGCTCCAAGTTTTTTGATATTTTTTATGTTTAAGTGCTACAAATGGTACCTATAGTATTAAACATGGTATAATATACTGTTAATTAAGTAATATGTATAGAATTTCTAATTTTATCATTTTGTTTACATTACAAAAGCCGCAAAGTGGCTTTTGCAACTGTCGCATTCTTTATGGTTTTTGTATTTGCATTTGTGTATATAATATTTTGGAATTTTGTGCAGAAGATTGTGAAGTAAAAGATCTAGACTCTTCAGGCAAGGATTCAGTTTCAGAGAGTCTTCTTCAATTTATACTTTGCTTCTAAGTTCGCCCCCTGAACTTAGCATAAATAGCCTTTGTTTCCTGTAATATTCTACATTTTCCTATACCAAATGAAGGAATTACATGTAAAAAGGAAAATTATCTAAATTTTATTATATCTTTGCTAGGTCTCAAATATGAAAAAAAAATGTATTTCACCTTTGAAATGCTCGTAACATTTTGACCAGTATTTGCAAAAAGTTTCGCAAGACGCATCTGTATCAACGGATTCTTCGACATTTGCCCACTTAGAATAGATGCCATTTGAGGTGTGTACAAGATACAGTCGATAGTTGTGAAAAGACCTTGATGCTCAAGATCTTCCAAACTCCTTTCACAGCCTTTATCACTACCACAGCAACGACTACAACCACGAGAACCCGACCTGTGAACGTCTGATAAATTTGCTCGAAGTATCTGGTCTTTCAGGTCACTTCCGTCCGTAGAGGAATTCGAACTGACAAGTAGTACCACATAATCGTCGTTGCTATCATGTTTTGTATTTTTAGAGTCAAAATCAGACTCATCTTCACAAATATTTTGGAAGTAACAAAATTTTTTTCATTTTCAATACTCCAACACGTTGCGACACAAACTACTTACAATAATTTCGTAAAAGTTCACAGACACTTGAAAAGATACGGTCTCATTTGATAAACAAACTATAAACAATGAATTAGTGTACATCATTTGTATTCTACCCTCTCATATTACACTTATAAACACTCATTGGTTGTCAGCAGTCAAATGACTGCCGCCGTCTTTGTCGGTAGATCAAGATTTTAAATAATAAATAAAAGAGTTGTGATTTATTTTCATACATAGTTGCATTTAACTAGTAAAATAAATAAAAGTCACAAAGTCTCAGTTTAAAAACTCAAATAGATTTCAAGTTATTCAATATTTAAAATCAAATTGCGGTCAAATGACTGCTCCCGTCTTTCTAGTGTTAACTTATTCAATTTGCATGATTCTAAATGAACTTCATAAAATAAAAAGTATTTTTACCTGTTTACTATAATATTTTCGCGATTTATCTGGGGAATAGAAAGAAAAATATCGTTTCAACATGTCACTTATTTTGCAAAGTTTCCAAAGAATCATGCATGAACTCTTAACGTCATGGCATAATATCGGTACTATGATTATGTATGTACGGAAAATAAAGTTATTTACGAGCAAACTATTTGATTGATTGTTATTCTTGAACGTAAAAGCTTAGGTAAAAATTGTTAATGTGCACGAAATATGTAAATGTATGCCTACCTTTGTGCTTTCTCCTGTTTCCTCAGCGACACATCCTTCTTCTGGATTTTTAAGTCGCTGTCCAAACTAACATCACTCAAGGAAGATACAGGCTCGGCGGGCTTCACTGGTTCCTCCGGCTTTACCTCTTGAGGCTTGTCAGCTTCTGAGGGCTTTTCTTCCTCCTGAGGCTTAATTTTCTGAGGTTTCTCCTCTGGTACTGGTAGGGACACCACTTGGATGGCAGGCTCCGATGATGACGAGCTCTGTGGAGGCTTAGGTTTATACTCATTGTGGTATTCGTCCATAGCCAAGTCTAAGAGGTCGTCCATGTCCCCGAGAGCGGATAGCAAGGACTCGGCCGGAGCCACTGCAATCACCACGCCATCGATGTTCAGCCGGTAGTTCTCTGTGCCATTCTGTCGCTGGTCATAGTGCTTGGTGGCGCAGTCGGGCGCAGGTGCAGCGCGCACCACGGCCACCAGCACAGCCACCAACGCCACCTCGCACACCACTCGTCTGTAGTTGACCATCGCGGAAGGTGTCTGTGGGCGCACTGAACTTCGGTTGCGGCTGTGGGACCCGCTATGTATCCATTCTCCGCTGCATCTTTTATTTATTTGCCCAGATAGCGGTACAGCCAGACGCGGCTTCGACTAACCGCGCGACCCGTCGTAGTTAAACTGGTATTAACACAACAGAATTGTGTAATAAATACAGGTATCATCCGTTATGTTAACACGGGACATTATATTGTAACTCTCATTACCATCTGTATCCCGGAGTCAGTAGATAATGTATCCTGGCTGATACCGTGATACGATGTAATGTTTACATTATATTTATAGAACAGTAGGTATTGAAGATATAGAGGCCGTCGACTCAACCCAATAACCCGTTAACCTCTGCTATCGAATACAACAGTTAAAAGAATTGATAGCAATTTATTTTTGGCAATCAGCAACTAATTATTTTTTCTTGACGTGTGACACATAAATGTTAAAGTCATTGAAATTAAATAAATGTAAATCGTAGAGATTAATATAATATAACGGAATTGAGATTTAGAGTTAGTACCTAATAGTAAAGCAGTGTGTTATTAATGTTATTATACACTAGCTGTTGCCGGCGATTACGACTGCGTAGAATATGATTACGGTTTTATCCCATGGGAGTATTTAATCGGGATAAAAAGTATCCTATCACCTAAGTTAGCCTATACCGTGGCTCTAGTCTAGAGGTATACCATTTTTCATCGAAATTTTTTCAGTAGTTTCAGCGTAATTGACGGACAAACATCCAAATAAAGAAACTTACATTTGTAGTAATAGTGTGATTGAATTTTTAAGATAGGTACTGTCCTGTATTCAAGGTTAGACTACCGACATGTGAAGTTCACAGTTGAATCTACTACCACCTACAAAAGTTGAGTTCCTTGATTTACCAACAGATACAGGTCCTTAACCCGAACCACTATCATACAGGTCCTGAGCCCACTATAGACTCCAGGTCTCACAAAGGTTGAAGCTTATGTAACTTCAACACTTTAATATTATGTATCTATCTTTGTACCTTTTTGAGAGAAATAATTTCCTTTATTAAGTTCTTTTATAGATATCAAATAACAGTTATCGAAAAAGCTTGCGATTTATTCGAGCTTTTAAAGCTTCCATCGTTTTGTAAACATTAGGTAGTGGCTGCAAGATTATGTACGGTACCTACGTATATCTAGCATAGGCAGTAAATAAGTAATTAATAATAAGTTAATCTGTGTTCGGTGGCACAGATCGTGTGCGGTGGAACAACCTGTCGCTGATGGGTCGCAGACAGCTTTCAACTAACTGTATCTACCACCTACTTGCACCATCGCATCGTCGATAAACGGTAAAACAACTACATTTTTTCTTTATTTGCCCTTTTCTCAGATCATTATTTGGACGAATTAAGCTTAGTGTGGGCTTGCTTGGGCATTTAAGTAGCCCGTGGTTTATTTTGTCTGATAGAAATGAGGAAATACGGAAGCTTTTAGCAAGTGACGATCTGTTTGTGAATTCAACAAAAAACTTTCGAGTACCTTGATAGTTTGATTTATAAATAGGTTTTAAAATGAATGTAACAGGTGTAGGTAATATAATTCGTTGATTGATTTGGTCCATCTGAATGTGACGTGAACATTTTCGTAAGTTTATAGATTAGGAAGTCCGTACGAAAGTCTCTAATAAAATTGTGCCTTATAGGCATACTTCGAAAACAACAGGCTAATAAGTAAGTAATAACATAAAATATCTAAGTGTAGATTAAAACCAATTAATGGGGAGATAAAACAATAAAATGGACTGCTTATCTTAAACAATTTTGTTAGTCTTACTAACTCAATCGTTATAATTTTCTAATAAGTATGACTATGAAAGTTTTATCTCAGCGGTAATTAATATAAGTACTTTAGTTTTTATGAGTCGACAGATTTCTAGACAAGACCTAGAAACTGTTAACCTAGGAACTAGCTCTTCACAAACAGGTCTGCGGTACTTTCTACAAGTCCACGCCCAGTTAGTTATATTTTATGGCGATCGCCTTGTTACTCTGTTAAATTATTTACCGGTGCACTTGACGTCAGCTTGTTGGATTACTTGGAGGAATCCCGCAGCTTTAATGTTCATTTATTTGTGTAAAAATATTCGATCGATAGGCACCTACTTATTTCGCTGTGCTTAGATACCGCACACTTTTTAATGACTTATAGATGGACGAAAAACTTGTAGCTGTACCTATGTGCTAATTCTTTTTTAAAAAAAGTGTTGCCCTATTAGGATTTTTGCCTGTGTCGTGGGGACGTTTACAAACATATAATTTCACATACACATGGCACCTAGACCTAGAACATCAATTTGTGGATCATGCAGAGTTGCTCCGTGCGGGAATCGAGCACGCGACACGTTGAACGCATGAACATATGAATTAACTTTTTAATAAGAACCATAATAATTTATTGATCCTTTACGAATGTCACATTTGGGTACTGGTTTAAAAGTAGGTAAAATGCCAATTGAGTGTTGTTTTTTAACCGTTGTATTCCCAAACGCATGGTCCAGTTTGTCAGATAACTGGATTGTTGGTACAACGGTACCGGTTGCCAACTTGCTTGCTAATTTATTGGCGTCCCTTACAAACGAAAAATATCTTTAGGATCAAGTTTTGGTTCCTTATTTGATGATAATTTATAAAACGTGCTAATGTTAATGTGTTTAGAATATATGCAAGTTTTAACCGCTATACTGACCAAGTTAAAATCACACTATTTGAGGCGTATTGCCAAAGTCTGTACACGGGCGGTCTATGGGTCAACTACACCAAAAGATAGCTAGAGGTCCTGAGCGTCCATATTAATTAAACGTTTTCTGGATGTTGTTGACACGACCCCCTACTTATTGCGGTGCTTCGGAGATGTTCGCGAAAGCTCGTATAGACGGATTTCCGCAATACTGCGGAAAAAAGCTTCACTATTAGGAAGGTGAGTCAATCAAAACCTGAGAACCGTAGCGGAGTATGCACTCTCCAATAATAAAAATATTTGTAGAAAAGGTGATCGGTACTAACAATAGTTTGTAAGCATTTTCTATGTAACACTAACACCCGATGGAATTTGTCTGAAATGCATGCCTTATTATTATTAATAATAATCGTTCAAAGTTGTGCGCATCTGTGCATACCTGCACAAATAGCCCACATCTTTTATTTAACTTAAGATTAGAAGAAAAAAAAGACTGCACGTATGGTGCGGTGGCTGGGCTGCCGTGCAACGTGTCGCGGGCAGTCGCGGGTTTGATTCCCGCACGGAACAACGATTTGTGTGATCCACAAATTGTTGTTTCGGGTCTGGGTGTCATGGTGCATTGTGTGTGAAAATCCTAGTGTGGGGCAAAGTTTAAAAAAAACAGTGATCAATGTAAAAATACTTCTTTATTTTCATCATTCAACATTGTATTTAGGGAAGACATGTTTGTGTACAAAAATCATCAAAAATGGTACGAACAATTTTGGTTGCACGAAGACTTTTCAGCTTCTTTTATTATGTAATAGTTACTGATAAGGAGCTTATAAGCAGATTGATCACCATTGGGTGATTTGTGCGCTTACTCAAGACTCAAGTATTCCCGTCTACGTGAGCGCAGCCACGTGCGTAAACAGATTACAGCGATTAATTTACACACTTTTAAACTTAACGTATATTTATCAGAGGCCACAGAATTATATCCCCGAAAGGGTAGGCAAAGGTGCATATTACGGCACTTAATGCCACTGTACAATATAACAACCTCTTTTCACGATTTATGTTATGGGCCCCATGTAATAGGGGGTGAGCCTATTGTCATATACCGGACACAATTCCAGACTCCGAGCTACTATTGAGATTTATTTTAAAAACCCAGTAATATTTTGCCCGGCCAGAATCGAATACGAGACCCCTTGCTCGGCAGTCAAGTTTATTTTTAAGGCTATTAAAATCACACATTACTAACCAAAGTAACCATAGAATTATGATAAAAAAATAATATCAACTCACACAACACTACATCAACATAATAAATGACAATAATTCCATAAGTATCAATGAATTAATAGAAATAACAGAACTATTAACAATACATATTATTATTTTATATATCTGAGTATAGTACCTACTCTTTTCATATCAGAATCCGATAATTATTAACTAAAACGAACTTTATTAACATACACATAAAACAAAAAATTCAACACGTTCAGGGCTTGCACAGACGAAGGACTTTTTGCTAAAGAGGATAAACATCAATTCAAGATTGTGGATAAGATCCATTGAGAACTTTATTACATCACGGAGCACATTTCTTTGTTGAAAGATCCCTTATAAAGTATCCTTACTAATATTATAAATCTGAAAGTGAGTTTGTTTGTTTGTTCCACCTTCACGCCGTAACTACTGAACCGATTGCTTTGAATTTTTTCAGACGTAAAGTTAGAAGTCCGGATTAAATAATAGGGTACTACTTTTTAACCCGGAAAAAATTGATATTCCCGAGGAAAAACAAAAGTATTGGTATAGATGGCGCTGTGTATTGGTATATGTCACATAGGCTACTTTTTATTCTTTTGTGACGCGAGCGAAGCCGCGGGTAAAAGCTAGTATAGAATAATTCACAAAAAGTGTTTGGTACAGTTAGGTCAAGTACGTTGGGCAAAGTCTCGAGTCTGTGCAGGCCCTGAACGTGTTAGATATTTTGTTTTATGTGTATGTTAATAAGGTTCGTTTTACGCAACACGTAAGGCACTTATAATTCTAATGAAGACAAATTTTTTTAAAGGCACTTAAGGACTTGCGACTTAAATCTACATTAATATCTTAACACGAGTACAAATACACTTTATTATCAACTTGCGCAACTTTAGCGCAATGACTACACTATGGTAGCGCAACCAACGCTGTTCTTTATAAAGTTTAAAGAAATTGCTATAACTTAAATCACTTAATATATATCCCCAAAATTTGTTCATATAAGAGTAGTCTCTAAACATCGGAAATAAGGTCTATAATGGAGTTCGTGTACAGCAGTCACCAGTGACCGCTTGGGAATGAAACAGTTAACAAACATAATATCGAACAGAAAACTTAATAAACATAATATCGATAAGAAAACACAACATCAATAACATTCGAAAATGTCTAAATGTATAATGAATCCACCAAAGAACTTAAACGGGATTGCAGTTTAACAAGTGCTGGAAACTCCGCAAGTATCAACTCAGTAAATTTATTTGTAACATTATAATATTCTATAAATTCTATACTAACACGAAACACAATTTTCCATTTCCTAAAATTATTGATTGAATATTATGTTAAAACATGTCAGTCACTTATTTAAAAAATAATACCTCAAGCTTACAACTGCATTGAAAACGAAAAGAAACAAAAATTCTAGGTACAAAAATAATATCTTTCTAACAAAATAATAACTTTGGGCATACCATCAATAATTACAACACAACATTCCTTCATTTGTTACCCGAAGGTATCTACAGAAGTTCAACAAAAAATAATATTAAACGATTGTCGCTAGTTATGTATCCCCTTCTTTAAGGAGTGGCCCTATTATGGAATAGGCGATAACCTATTGAAGATATTAAGCTTTACCCTATTAAAATAGGAAGCAATTTTATGTATCACATTTATTGTACTCAGCAACGATTGTATTAAGAACTTTGTTATAGAAGCCGTCATCGTGTCGCAGCCTGTACAGGGAAGTTGTGAGGTATCGCTGCACCAGCGTCGCGCAGGCGGCGGCCGTCAGACCTCCAGTACAGATCGAACGGGACGCGCAGCACAACGTCACTGCTTGGCGCCAGATGCGAGTGGACACTGAAAATTCAATATTTGCGTATTGAGTAAAAATATAGCTATTTTGCCAAAGGTGTAAGTTAATGGACAATACATATTTTACTGCACTATTGGTGCGGTGGTGCACAACGTGTAGCGAGTTTTGTTTCGGGTCTGTGTGTCATATGTATGTTTTTTTTTTATATATATTACATGGGAAGTTGTATGTATAAATACACCCATGATATAGGAGAAAATCCTAGAGGTAATGTTTTTTTTTAAATAAAGGTAATGGTTGTCTTATTGAAATTATAAGAATCCCATGTAATAAGGTCAGAGGTATTTTATATTGCAAAACCATGCTGATTTCATCGGGGAGTAATGCCCCCAATGAAATCAGCAGTCTCTCTAGGCCGAGTGCGACAAAAAAAGTGAGATTGTAAAATGGGATTGTAAAACTAACAATATAATTAAGATACATACAAAACCGTTGCATATCCATATCGCAGTGCTGCAGCAGTTTCTGTATGGAGGAGGTGTTTGGTACAGCAGGTACATTGTTCCCAGTCACTATCACAGAGCCTTCTACCACCGCCTCCTTAAACACTTCGCCGATTTCTGCTACTAACGCCTGTAACAAATGTTGGTCGGTTGTTATCGCCAAAATTGCTGAACTGATTTTGAATATTTTTCATAGAAGAGAGAAAGGATCTTGGAGATGTTAGAGGATTTCTTTTTATATTATTGTTTACTATTTTGTATTCAAATCCTTACTTATATTATAAATCGGAAAGTGAGTTTGTTTGTTTGTTTGTTTGTTCCACCTTCACGCCGTAACTACTCAACCGATTGCTTTGAAATTTTGCAGACGTAAAGTTAGAAGTCCGGTTTAAATAATAGGGTACTTTTTATCCCTGAATAATCTGATATTCCCGAGGGAAAACAAAAATATTGGTATAGAGGGCGCTGTGTGTATTGGTATATGTCACATTGGCTTTTTATCCTTTTGTGACGCGAGCGAAGCCGCGGGTAAAAGCTAGTTATATATATAATGAGTTTTATTAATGTAATCAATAGGCTATCCACATTTCAGTATTCATGCTACAAAATATAATTTTGTTCACTTGTTGATATTAAATTACCTGAGTATCAAGGGAGCCATTAGCAGTCTTCTTGTTGTCATCTTTCATAACATGTAGCCAGTAACTTGTAGGAATGTGCTGTAACAAGATGGTGCGGCTTAATATCTGAGATTGGAGGTTCACCGACAGTGATACACCTACTTTCAACCAGCAACCATGAGAACCATGTTATCTATTGAAACAAAGAGAAGTGCACCCAGAGGTTCCTTTCCATCATCGTACCACAAGACGAAGAAGATTCATGGTAGATGTCTCACCCACACGCACGAAGCGCTTCGAATCAAGCTTCCTTGTGCGTACTGCTAAGGATTTTTCTTTTTTAAGGGGGGAAAATCATCGAATGACTGCTCCCGCCTGGGTGAGGCGGAAGGGAGTGTCAGACTCTTACTGACTAACAACCACCCCGTCCCTTCTCCTGCACGTCGAGCCGGAGCCCCGGTTACCCGTTAGGTTCTACGCGACTACTGCTAAGGATTAGAATTCGTTGCCAGAGTATTTCCTGAAGGCTGTACCTAGGTGTCTTCAAGGTCCGAGTGAATAGGTTGCTTATGGGACGACGTGCTTTATCGTAGACCGCATCATCGCTTACCACCAGGCGAGATTGTTGTTACCCATTAAATATAAAATATCAGCAAATATCTTCTTTACTAGTATGTCACTTGTTTGGCATGGGGATAGTGGGTGCTTTTTAAGACGGAGTTCATTCAGCTGAATTACTTCAATGGGGGCTAACATTTTTGCTCAATGTAGGAAGGGGTATTTTTGTCCAATAACGGCAGCTGTCAAATATTGAACATCCACACTAGGTAATTGCCTATTGGTCGAAGAACAAGAGGAACACACTAGCGCCATCTGCTGAGCGAAAATACGGTAGACCCCATTGGATGACAATTGTAACAATGGTAAGTATAATATCTAGACAGACTAATAGTACTATTAACCTAAATGCCATTACATGTGACATCTACTCACATTAGTATCAGCAATCATGAGTATTCTATGCGCATGTGGCTGGTCAGTAGTGTCAGGAGACAGTCTGTTCACACAGTCAGGGTACATTTCCACTAGAACCACACTGTTTTCACCACCCAGCTTGCATTTACTCTGTTCCTTTATCGCTATCTCATCCAGTTTGTCGTATATTTGGGTTGCTACCTTCGGTTTTACTCCTGCAATGAGATTAGTTACTGTTTTAAATATCTTTTAGGTGAAGTATAATAGCAAATGAATAATAAAATATAAATACTTTACACAATCAAACACTTATACACAATAATACCTATACAAAAATAATAATATAAACAGATTATAACTTTAACATTCATTTTCAACTTACCTCATTCTAATTAAGACAGCATGGAAAAATTTCAAATCATTAGTTTCAAATTTAATCAAGAAATCTCATATTGAACAAATAATACCAACATTACCACCATGGTCTTGGAATCTATAGACAACTATGGAAATGAAGTATCCAAGAATAGGGTAATGTACGTCTGGTAGATTATTTTAAATCATTAGACACATATTTTTTATTTTCTTACAGAAACTAATACTTTCGACAATATGTATATTGATTTGAAACATCGCGTGACGTCACTTCTATGTACATTTTATACGTAGAAATGACGCTTTAGCCCCCACTCCTAAACTTTGATTCGTTTATCTAAGTATTGTTTTCATCAACAGCCTATAAATGCCCACTGCTGAGCAAAGCCTCTTCTCACACGGAGAAGGTTTGAGCATTAATCACCACGCTTGCTCAATGCGGGTTGGCGATTTCAAACTTATAATTAGAAATTATAAGTCCAGGTTTCCTCACGATGTTTTTCCTTCACCGTTTGTCAGTGGTGTCTAAATAATCTTAGAAAGTACATATAACTCGGAAAAAGTCACATTGGTACTTGCCGTTGGTAGGTTTCGAACCCGCACCCTCATGAATGAGAAGTGGGCGTCTTAAACCTCCGGGCCACCACGACATATTAAGTATTGTTTTATTATACGACAAAATAAATAAATATGTGTCTAAAATTTTTTCATTACCTAACTTACGGACTAATTCGATTTTTAATTTTCATACTCTGTCATCATCCCAATTATATAGTAACTCTCTATCTTCAGAGAGCAAAGATATGAGTACCAAGTAATTTAAATAAAATCTTACCAAAATGTGCAGCAACCACATCAACGTCTGCATCCTCACACCAAGCCAGTATTATCTGCATAGTTTGTAATATGGAACACTGCAGGCGGAAGAAGAAGGACCCAGCTCTAATCGGCTGGGTCTTGCCACAACCCTCACATATCCACTGTACTCTGAAAATTAAATACAATATTCATTAGCAGAAAAATTTCCTCTCAAAATCAATGAATATTATCTAGGGAATAAGTTTCATTTAGTTTAACCCGTTGAAATCCATCCCCTAAATTTGGTCATACAAAAGTAGTCTCTAAACATTGGAAATAAGGTCTATAATGTAATATTAAGGGAGAGCGGTCACCGCTTGGGGATCTGGGTTAAATAGAAATTTAAGCATATATCGAGGCCCTGTTTCATTTTGTCTAAATAAATACTGCTACTCATTTCATATGGAAAATATGTCAAACTATCTGGCTGTTAGACTAACCATAGGGCGAAATCTAAGAACAAGCCAAACTTTATTGAGTAAAAGACCAGAATCCTTAGTATGGGTTTGTTTTATGTTACAAGTAATCGAAACAAGACGCCGCTCCGATTGGTTAGTTCATTGGAGTCGGCCAATCAGAGTGCCGAACATGTACTCGTTTCAATTACTTCAAACATGAAACAAATCCGTACTAAGGCCTCAGTTTATATATTAGTTCCAGATCTAACTTGACCAATACACATACCTGTCAACGACTCTGGCTGTTCTACAAATTACATTGCAGTTAGGGCCCTCGGCTATACATTTAACACTCTTAGGTATTAGTTCACATGATTGCAGTCTCTCCACTAATTGATACTCCAGCCTCTGATCTCCTTCCTTCGTTATAAAGTTCTTGTACAGTTGTAGATTACTGCAACATTTAAATTCATATTCATTTAGAAGATAAGTAGATTTAGTCACTCTGCTCAGTGGTGGAAATCTTGTTGCTGACATGATGATGAATAAAATTGATATCACACTCCACCACACAAGTCTCAAGTTACCATGTCCGTGTAACAAATTCGGAGTTATTGGAGAATAAATAGTGATAAAAACAAACATACCCGGGCTGTGTGGTAAATGGCAGGACAGGTTCAGTATCTTCGGTTTTACTCAAGTTGCTAATACTGCTATCATGAGTCGTTGAATCTGGTTCCATTGCTGTATCGTTAAAAACCCTTAAATTTTACTATATTTACGCTTTAGTGTTTAAACATGTTATTGAATATATAAAAGTTTGAAATCAAGTTACTATAAATATGAGTTGCTAAGAAAGCTTAAGTTTCCATTTAGTGTTACTATCCCAATGATAAACTACAACACATTTTGTCAATATATTCAAGTAATGCAAGAGTTTTATACAATCCAAATAACCCGTTGTGTGTCTAAACGTGGATCCACGCGAGACACAATGTATTTTCTACAGTGTCTCATATCGGTGCATTCAAGCAGATAAAAATAAATTCGTCTATAGACTTCAACAAGTTTGATTTTGACATTGACAATTTCATTTTCGACATTTTTTATTATTGCCATATGCCAAAATAAATTGTAGTTTATTTTCCCGTAAAGGCCAATGTTCCAAGCAAACCTTAGTTCACAATATCTCATTAAGTTGCTGTTGGCATGTGACACAAATAACATGGAAAATACGTCAATTTACCCGCCAGAAAGAGTTGGTACAATTTTGAAAATACATACACATAAATAACATAACATAACATCACGCCTTTTATCCCCATAGGGGTAGGCAGAGGTGTATATTACGACATTAAGTGCATGTAATAGGGGGTGAGCCTATTGCCATATACCGGGCACAATTCCAGACTCCGTGGTACTACTGAGATTTTTTGAAAAAGCCCAGTAACACTTTGCCCGACCCGGAAATCGAACCAGAGACCCCTTGCCGCCGCAGTCGCAATTGCGACCACTCGGCCAACGAGGCAGTCCCGCAGTCCATGCACATAAATAAGATATACGTTTCGTGGCATTGTATAACACGTTAGACTGACGCTAATCGTTATTAGAGTGTACACAAAAGATGCCCAATCTTTTATCGTGCACAATTACACAAAGTCATCTCGGTCAGTTCCTGTCTCAATCATATCAGTGTGTAGACTTAGCTTTGCAATTGACATAATGATTTTTTCAACTGGCAATATTGAATGCGTGCCTTCGAAGTTTCATGCTCAGTTTGACAGGTCAGTCAGTCAGTGTCATGTTGCTTGGATTGTTGTAGCACCCGCCGTGTTAGTTAATAATTTTTCCTATTATTTGTGTTAAACTATTATCAATAAATAAACTAAAGCCGTGCATTTGGAAACCCTTATTAAGCATGTAAGTACTGTTTAATTATTTTAATACTTTCTGTCACAATTTACGATTTTTATTGCCAATAATTTCAACACACCTTCAAACTTATAACTTAAAATGTATTTCATGTTTTATGTATTAAACCGTAAGTCTACGTATGTTCTTAAGTCTTGGATAACATAAGATACAGTATTACACAAGATTTTCATACATTACTTAAAAATAAAATTAACTTTTTTTTAAATACTCTGCGAAAAATCAATACGACTTTGGTGCTTATCTAAAAGTTTTTTAATACAATTTTTTAGTAATTATATATGTAGAACTTAATAAAATCTAGTACCTATCAGAAGTACCTAACTTACATTAGACTTCAAGGTATTCTACCTAAACAATGTTGATATAGGTAATTTAGTTCACTTTCCATAAAACATAGATTTACATTAATTTACATTTAACCCGACGTATAAAATAAATACTTAGCCTTTTATTTAATTCCCATAGTTAGCAACAATGATACATGTCAATTGGTAATAATTGAACATTACAAAAGTTCAACATAGTAAATATCATCTATCATCATATCTGCATTTAAATATATTAACCGGTATATCCCCAAGCGGTCACCGGTGACCACTCTTCACTAACTAACCACTAATACAGACCTTATTTCCAATGATTAGAGACTATTTTTGTATAAACAAATTTAGGGGATAATTTTGAACAATTTTCAACGGGTTAATAGTATTTATTCAGATTCTTCCATAAACTGGAGCTTTGCCTAGGGCATGACAGTGGACTCACCCTTTACTGTAAGGAATTGAGTTAATTTTTTTATTAAAATGTTTCTTAATAGTGGAAGTACCTTACAATGTGTGGTAAAACGGGGTGAATAGAATAGATACAGGAATGGGATGAATAAATATTAGAACATTACTTAATGAATTCTATTCACCCTGTTTTGTGGTACATATAAGTTTGAAAAATGTAAAAAACAAGAAATAAATGTAATATGTTAATGTAAATGTAATATGTTGTAATAGTTAATAATTTATGTTTTATTATTGCATGAAATAAAAGGTTTTTTATTTATTTTCAAATGTTATTGTAGAACATTATGCAATATATTTTAACTATTACATATTGTTTACAATAATATAGCTATGTTTAAACAATCAATGTGTATGGTTTCCACCAATTATATTTTAACACTTTAATTGCAGTTCACTGTTCAGTATTAATTGATTTGTCCCATCGTAAATTAACAAATAATTGCCATAGAGCATTATACAATCAAGAGAAACACTTCTTCTTCTTCTTCAAAAAGAAATGAATTAGATACTATATGATATTAATTATTATGGTTGTAAACGTTTGATGAGCAACTCGGCTAGTATTAAATTAGGTACTAAAAAATGTATGTTTTTCTTTATAACACTTGATTTTTTTTCAATAAAGTTTTAGTAATTATACTATAGTTCATCATAAATTCTTTTAAAACACCATCAAACTATAAAGTATTAATGAATATAGTTTTAATTACATATAACTTAACTTATTTATAATGAATATGCCCATATGTTATCCTAGACTAAGATACCCCAGTACCAAATTTCATACAGATCCTGCGAGCCGTTTTGACATGAAGAGCTAACCAATTTAACAAACAAACACAAACTTTCACAATAATAATATTATTATAGTAGAATTAGCTTCAATCAACAGTTACAACTGCTATTGTTGCTACTATTGATTGAAGAGAATTAGAACTAGTTACTATTGTAATTGTGTTTTAGAAACCATATTTTGCTCATTTTTTACTTGAAAACAAGAATTAAAAACTTCTATACCAAATTTTCAGATGAATATCATGTTTTAACTTCTATCTAACAAATACCTAAGGTTTTTTCGTAAGAGGTACTCATTCCTAATTTTATTCTATTCATTAAAGCCTGTTATGGACCTGCAATTAAGGCAAGTCCATATTAAATTTTATCCGTACCATATTTGTATCGTAACCATAATTAACAGGTCACAAAAAATTTATTAAGTATTGTGTAGTTTGTGTATGGAAGACGTAATTAACCAGTTTTAGATATTTTCATTTGTATAGGTAGGTAATTTATTTAATTATTTAATACTACACAATATAATATACCTTATGTTATGTAATACAATTATTATACTTTCATATTTAATTACTAAAAAATATTACTTATAAATAAAATTACGTATAAAAGTACCTAATAAATCGCAAGCTTAACACGTTAAACGCCATGGGGGTCACGGGTGACCGGCGTTAGCGGAGGATTTATTTTCAACAGTTTTTTATTGAAAGTCAAAGTCTTAAATACCAAGTACCTAGATTCTACATCTTCACGAAAAAAAAATCATACTGTTCTCAATTACGAAAGTCGTTACAACTTTATTCGGACACACAGTGAACCCAAAATATTCCCATAATATTTCGCTACACACATCTAAATGATACCTTATGTGGAATAAAACAAGCTTATCTGATCTCCACAAATGCTCTCCAGTAGTCTGTAACTCTGTACTAACTGGGAAGTAATAAAAACAATGCGAACTACTATTATCGAGTGAGTTTCAGAAATGATAAGTTTGAATACGTATTTCATGTGTGGTTTCCGCATGGCGTGCGTGATTAAGGGCAATAGTTAGTTGAGTGACGCAACGCGCGTATTTTCGGCGGCAATATAACGTATTTCGTCCATAACCGTCGTGCTGAAATGTGAGTCGACGCTGCGCTGTGCCCGCCCGAACTTCGCTACTAATTGAGCTATTAACAGCTTCAACTTATACGTGACATACACGTATACGTTCAGCTAACGGTTATTTAGAAATAGTGCATTTACGAGTTATATTTAAATGACTTTTACTGCACTTCCCCGTGTGTTCAAGTTATTCTCTCAGAAAATAGCATAGCCAACCGGGACGTTATGGCAAAGTAGCATATAGGTTTATGCTTCACACGCTACACATACGGTTACGCTCCCGTAGCAGTGAACTGTCGAATTCTCGGAAGACAATCTTCCTTTGACATCTCTAAACTCTTAAGCGCATTAAATTACGCGCATCTGCCCCTTGTTCCCGCAAATTGGGGTTACAAAACGCGAGACGAAGAGGTGATCCATGTTTAAACATGGATCGAGTACCTAATTATTTTTTGACTGGTCAGTTCGTCTAGTTTACACGCTGACATTAATAAGCTAAACCGTATCCATTACCAGCTGGCTCATTAATGTCTATGTGTCCAGAACGCAGCCATCTATCTTTTTTGCGATCAAAAGCTTTGCAGTTCCCCACAACATCTCTTGCAAAATATCGATGCCTATTAATCGATTTAACTACATGACTTTAGGCAACTAACCCGGTAGCATACAAGAAATGTAAACAACTTGGTATAGAGAAAACTTCCCAAGTACTTATTTGCATCAATGAATCAAAGAAAATGATTGATGATCGAGGATGTATGAGTACCATTGACAAGACAAGTGTCGCTCAGTACCATGTTGTTGGAAAACAAATCACTAATATCGCAATTATCTTTCCTCTGTATTATCGCCTCCATATTGATAATCTCAAGGAAACGGAAAAATATTAACAACAATTTCACATTCAACATCTAGATCGAATTTAGTAAGTGTTATTTTGTGAGGCTAGTTGTAATCAGTGAACTAGGAACTGGCCATTCATGACTTTTTAGTACTTCTATTATTATAATTTCTTTCACAAATTAGATACACTAGTACGTATGTATATTTATTGATTCTTAAAACTTTTAAGTTCAGCTGTCGCAAACACACGTCGCTGTGTCGCCCGACG